TTCCAATGGGAAGCGATCTTCGCTGTGATCTCTGCAGTGCGCGCTGTCCGCTGACTTGGGCTTGCGAGCGTGCCCCGCTCGAGGCTCGAGGTGTCGTTGGTGTCGTCCATCCGCTATCGGGCCCTGGGCTCGTTTGTTTGTCTGGCCTTCGTCGAGTGCTTTAGTCGCCGTCGCGGTCTTCATCCCTGCGTGTGGCCAATGCTAGACGCCATCCCGACTTCTCGAACTCAGTATTGGGCGAACCCTTCGGCTTCCGTCTCCTTCATTCATGTATTCTCTCTCCCTCTCCCTTTTTCTATCTCCTTCTCCCTGTCTCCTGACCGACCAGCGAGCTTTACGGCATGCGCCATGGGTAAAGTGGGGGAAGGGTCCGTCGTTAAACGTGTGAAGCGGCCATTGAAGAGGCTGTTGAACAAGCAGGGGAGGTATGAGGAACGCCCTAGAACAGCGAGCGGTAGGGTCCACGCTATGGGTATAACAGGGCTCATAGACACAGAGAGTGAAACGCTGTTTCAGGGCCTCCTTCGTCGCGGAGGCAGCGGCGGCAGCAGCGGCGGAGGGCCGCGGCAGCAGCAACGTGGGAGCTTACCTTTGTCGACCCTCTCTCTCTACCGCCTCATGCCTCTCTCCTGTAGCGGATCCGCTGCCCCGCTGTAGCGGATCTACTATCCCCAGCTGGAGCGGCGCCTCCCGCGTCGGCCTCTCGGCGTCCAGCCAGCAACCGGGCGAGGGCTCCAATCGCCGGCGCTGCCGCGATGCGTTTTCACTTGGCCAGCGACCGGCCACGGCCCGCCCGAGTCTGGCACTTATGTGTTGCGTCGCGTGCACGGCGAGCCGCAGGCGCACATGCGAGAGTCGCGTGTGCCGTCCCCTTCCTCTCCGTTGCCCCTCCTTCGCTCCTTTTCCCGTTCTTTCCTCTTCTCCGTCGTCCACCCTCCTCCACGTTCCCCTCTTCGTCGTGTGTCCTTTCTGCGACGACGTGGCCGTTGTCGACGCCGGTGAATCACACCAGCGAGCTCGGCTGCGACGAAGCCGATAACGACAACGGTGACGACGGCTGCCACGATGACGGCGGCCAAGACGAATACGACGACGACCCCGAGGCCAGGATTTATACACATCCGCCGCGTGGGCAATTGATCCTCCCCGTCTTCGGGAGGCAGTGGATGTGGTTATATTAGGCACCCGCGGGGCTCAAATATATCGTATCCGCATCCGCCTTTCCGTTGAAGCCCTGGGAGATTCGTTTCCCAGCCAGTGGATCTGCATATTGTCATGATTTCTAGAGTTGCGCACAGATGCCAGACCTCCCAGTCTGCTGGACAGAGGCTGTGCTGTCCAGCGAAGGGTGGCAGGAGGGGAGACGCACCGCGGAGAGACAGCGAACGCGGAGGCGGGAGACCGGGGCCGGCGGGGCGGGCGGGCAGGCGAGAGGGGATCCTGGCGAAGACGGCTGGGAAAAAGCAGGAGGAGAGGGCAGGGTAGGATAGGATCAAGACCCCCTCCCCGCCCGCAAGCCGTCTCGCTCACTCCCACCCGCCCTCCCAACACATACGTAGCACCTGAGTGTGGCCCGAGCCTCAGCATATTCTGCAGTCGTCTTTGGATGGGCAGCTACTGGGGGCCAATCCGCCGCCGCCGCCGCCGCCGCCGCCGCCGCCTCCGCCGCCGCCGCCGCCGCCCCGCCGCCCGCGCTGCCGCCGCCGCGCGCCGCCGCCGCCGCCGCCGCCGCCGTCGCCGCCGCCCCCGCCGCCGCCGCCGCCGCCGCAGCCGCCGCCACCGCCGCCGCAGCCGCCGCAGCCGGCGCCGCCGCCAATTGTAGTCTGTATTGTTTTTTGACAGGGATGGTGGGGGGGGGGCCGCATCGGGTTGGCTGCGCATGTTCAGACTTTGGAGGCAGAGTGTGTTTTGTATTGTTTTTTTTACAAGGGATGGTGGGAGGGTGTCGTCATGGACTCGGGTTGGCCCCCAGTCGCCTGGGGGAGGGGGTGTTTATTAATAGGGAACAGTGATATAGTACGTGGCCCACAAATATACTCCACCACCGGCTCCCTCGCCCCCTCCCTCTCCCAGCGAGAGGGGGAGGGGGAGAGGAGGCTGGAGGAGGGGAGGGGGATGAAGGTGGTGGTGGGGCCCGCAGACAGGACCGATCGCGAAGCGAGGTGAAATGACCTGACCACCACGCGTGCCATTGCTCAGGTTGAGTTGGGCTCATCACTCTTCGGGAGTGTACCCTCGTAAACTCTTGCTGAAAAGCCTCTCAGAGTCGGCGTGATCTGAACACGCTTATTTGGGGGAAGGCTGGGAGACGCCAAACACTCGGTGATTGAACCCCGCATCTGCTGGCCCCCATGAAATCCACACGAACTACAGAACCGTAGATTGAGCTTATGGCTGGACAAGAGGGTATGGCTCGGATGCGTCCATGGCCCTCATATGTGCGCACCCTGACCCTTCGGTGATCTGGAGAAATATGGGTCTTGCTTAGTTAGCTCTTTCA